CTAGCTACTTGGGAGGCTGAGGCAGGATAATCGCTTGAACCCAGGAGATGGAGATTGCAGTGAGCAGAGACTGCACCACTGCACTCCAGCATGGGCAACAGAGTGAGACTCTGTCTTCAAAAAAAAAAAAAAAGCAAAAAATGTTGCTTGTCATGTACAAGGATTTCTCAATAAGATTGTCATTGATTTCCCAGCAGAAACTGTGGAGTCCAGAAGGGGGTGCGGTGATAGATGTAGCATGCTGGGTGGGTGGGGGGAAACCTGTCAACTGAGAATTCTATACATGTAAAAGTGTCCTTTAGTTACTATTAAAAATAAAGTAACTAAGATTCCAGAAATCACAAGTGTTGGAAAGGATATGGAGAAAGTGGAACTCTTGTGCACTGTTGCTGGCAATTTAAAATGGTGTAGCTACTATGGAAAACAGTGTGGCAATTCCTCAAAAAATTAAAAATAGAATTATACAATGTAGCAATTCCATATCTTTGTATATAGCTGGCCCTCTGTATCCATGTTTTTTTGTTTTGTTTTGTTTTGTTTTGTTTTGTTTTGTTGAGATGGAGTCTCTGTTGTCCAGGCTGGAGTGCAGTTGCACCATCTCAGCTCACTGCAACCTCTGCCTCCTGGGTTCAAGTAATTCTTGTGCCTCGGCCGAGCGCGGTGGCTCACGCCCGTAATCCCAGCACTTTGGGAGGCTGAGGCGGGCGGATCATGAGGTCAGGAGATCCAGACCATCCTGGCTAACATGGTGAAACCCCGTCTCTACTAAAAATACAACAAATTAGCCAGGCGTGGTGGCGGGCACCTGTAGTCCCAGCTACTTGGGAGGCTGAAGCAGGGGAATGGCGTGAACCTGGGAGGCGGAGCTTGCAGTGAGCTGAGATTGCACCACTGCACTCCAGCGTGGGGGACAGAGCAAGACTCCTTCTCAAAAAAAAAAAAAAAGAAAGAAATTCTTGTGCCTCAGCCTCCTAAGTAGCTAGGATTACAGAAGTGCACCACCATGCCCAGCTGATTTTCGTATTTTTAGTAGAGACAGGGTTTCACATGTTGGACAGGCTGTCTCGACTCCTGAGCTCAGGTGATCCACCCACTTTGGCCTCCCAAAGTGCTGGGATTACAGGTGTGAGCCACCGTGCCTGGCCTGTATCCATGGGTTCTGCATGTTGATTCAACCAACTACACATAGACATTGTAGTTAGGCCTATGATGATTGTGTCTGTTCTGAAGATGTACATACCTTTTCTTCTATCATTATTCCCTAAACAATACAGTATAACAACTATTTACACGACATTTACATTGTATTGGGTATTACAAGTAATCTAGAGATGATTTAACGTATATAAGAGGGCCAGGCGCAGTGGCTCACACCTGTAATCCCAGCACTTTGGGAGGCTGAGGCAGGCGGATCACGAGGTCAGGAAATCAAGACCATCCTGGCTAACATGGTGAAACCCCGTCTCTACGAAAAATACAAAAAATTAGCCAGGTGTGGTGGTGGGCGCCTGTAGTTCCAGCTATTCGGGAGGCTGAGGCAGGAGAATGGCGTGAACCCGGGAGGCGGAGCTTGCAGTGAGCCAAGATCGCGCCACTGCACTCCACCCTGGGTGACACAGCGAGACTCCATCTCACAAATAAATAAATAAAATAAAGTATACAAGAGGATATGCATGGATTATATGCAAATACCACCTCATTTTAAATAAATGACTTGAGCATCTGTGGATTATGGTATCCTAAATGTATCCTAGAACCAATCCCCTGTGGATACTGAGGGATGACTGTATACACAAAACAATTGAAAGCAAGGTCTTGAAAAAATATTTGTACACCCATGTTCACAGCAGTCTTATTCATGGTAGCAAAAAATGGAAACAGTCTGGGCGCAGTGGCTCACACCAGTCATCCCAGCACTTTGGGAGGCCAAAGCGGGTGGATCACTTGAGAACAGGATTTCGAGACCAGCCTGGCCAACATGGTGAAATCCTGTCTCTACCAAAACAACAACAACAACAACAAAAATTAGCCCAGCATGGTGGCACATGCCTGTAATCCTAGTTACTCCGGGAGCTGAGGCAGGACAATCACCTGAACCCAGGAGGTGGCGGTTGCAGTGAATGGAGATCACATCACTGCTCTCCAGCCTGGGCAACAGAGTGAGACTCTGTCTCCAAAAAAAAACCACACACACACACGATATGGAAACAATCAGTATTCATCAATGAATAAATGGATAAGCCAAATGTGGCATATACATACAATGAATATTATTCAGCCTTAAAAAACAAAAAAATTTCCAGACATTACGATATGGATGACCCTTAGTGATATTATGCTAGATGAAATAAGCCAGTTACACACAAAAAATACTGTATGATTCCACTTATACAAGGTACTTAGCATAGTCAAAATCATAGAGACAGAAGGTAAAATAGCGGTCTCCAGGGGGTAGGTGAAGAGGGGATTGGAAGTTATTGTTTAATAGGTGTATGTTTTTTGTTTTACGAGATGAAAAGAGTTATGGAGATGGATGGTAGTGATGGTTTACAACATTTTAAATATATTTAATGTCACTGGACTGTACACTTAAAAGCCGTTAAGGCAGGGTGTGGTGGCTCACGCCTATGATCCCCGGACTTTGGGAGGCCAAGGTGGGAGGATTACTTGAAGCCAGGAGTTCCAGACCAGCCTGGGAAACATAGTCAGACTTCATCTCTACAAAAATAAAAAAATAAAAAATAAAAAAAATAGGCCAGGCACGATGGCTCACACCTGTAATCCCAGCACTTTGGGAAGCTGAGGCGGGCGGATCATGAGGTCAGGAGATCGAGACCATCCTGGCTAACACAGTGAAACCCCATCTCTACTAAAAACACAAAAAAATTAGCCGGGCATGGTGGCGGGCGCCTATAGTCCCAGCTACTAGGGAGGCTGAGGCAGGAGAATGGCGTGAACCTGGGAGGCAAAGCTTACAGTGAGCAGAGATTGCGCCACTGCACTCCAGCCTGGGCAACAGAGCAGACTCTGTCTCAAAATAAATAAATAAATAAATAAATAAATAAATAATAGCTGGTTATGTTGGCATGTGCCTGTAGTCTCAGCTACTCAGGAAGCTGAGGCAGGAGAACTGCTTGAGCCCAGGAAGTCAAGACTGCAGTGAGCTGTGTTGGCACCACTGCACTCCAGCATAGGCAACAGAGACAGACCCTGTCTCAAAAATTAAAAAAAAAAAAAACAAAAAACCATTAGGCCAGGCCCGATGGCTCACGCCTATAATCCCAGCACTTTGGGAGACTGAGGTGGGTGGATCACCTGAAGTCAGGAGTTCAAGACCAGCCTGGCCAACATGGC